AAACCCCGAAAACCCCCAAACCCCTAAACCGCTGAAAGCCACTTCCACTCGGAAGGAAGACTTTGTGGACAAAGCCTTGCAGGCCAGGTGGATCTGGTTGTAGAACTGTTCAGGGTGTTTAGGGAGTTTAGGGTTGAGGGTTCAGGATTTCGTTTTTGACTTCTATGCGATTTATAAGGTGTGTAGAACAGTCTTGTTCGGATGTTTATGGGCTTTAGGATGACCCAGAACCCAATCCGCCCCTAACTACAGAATCATGGAGGGTTTAGGGGTTTAGGATTTAGGGTTTAGGATTTAGGGTTTAGGGTTTACGGTTAGGGACGGTTTAGGGTTTTAGGGTTTCTAGCCTACAGAAGGCTCCACATGCGAGGTTCCGCAAATACCCTGTTGCCCTTTTTAATTTTTTGACTCCGGTATTAGAGCCAACAGAAAAGGGTGCCCTTGTTTTGTTGAGGGACCGCTAGTGAACCTAGAATATTGCAGCCTTGAGTGAGGAATTTGCTTGCAACTTTTCAGGTATCTTTCGCATGGCTTGAGGCAGATTCCACAAAGGGGATCTTGCGCTCTTGGAGACATGCAAAAACAGCTTTTATCTTCAGGATCGGTGCACCTAACCATGAGGGGCTTCATGAAGACGCATATGATTCAGCTTGAAATTAAACTTGGATCGTGTTACTATTGTAAAGCTTAAATAATTACCAATACTCCAATGTCATTCCGTACGGGTCCAATGTCATTCCGTACGGGTCCTCGTTCTAGTTGTGGCATAAAGTAGCCCAAACCCTATTCTAATTATTAAGGCCTCTAAAATGATTGTGACATGCACGAGTTTTTCGTAGTGAAGCCCTTAGGGTTCGTCTAGAACTCTTGGAGTTTACTAGGAGGTTCATGGGTAGTTATAAGTAGGGTTATAAGTAGGGTGACTGTAATTCTAACCCATATTAGGGGACTTATAGCCCCACTTATAACTACCCATGAACCTCCAAGTAGGGGGACTTAACCCTAAACCCCTGAACCCAAAACCCCTAAACCCTAAAGCCATGAACCTCCAAGTAGGAGTTGTGGGTTTACTTCTAGTACCCTCAGAGAACCTCGCGGAAGCATACCGGGGGTCTCCGAAAAAAGGGGGACCCACACTTAGTATCCCAAATAGTGGGATCCTTAATTTTTAGGGTTTAGGTTTTTAGGGTTTAGGGTTTAGGGACCTCAAAAGAAGGTACCCCTTATTTCCGGAAACTCCCATGGTTTCGAAAGCTTCCGAGAGGGCTCCCCCGAAGGCCCTGTAAACCCGCCTTTTTGAGAGTCGGAGGTGCTTTGCGTGGCCTTGGACTTCAAGCCGCCCCAGGAGTTTAGAGTGGGTTCTTGTTAAAGGATTCTATTTAAGGATTTCTATTTAGGGTTTAGGGGTTTAGGGCTTAGTGGGTTCTTGTTAGGGGATTGAATTTAGGGTTTAGGGTTTAGTGGGCTCTTGTTTTGGGGGGTTTAGGGTTTAGTGGGTTCTTGCTAGGGGATTTTATTTAAGTTACCATAATAGGGATCTATAGTGGATAATATGGTTTCTTTTTTATGGTTTCTTAAATTAATCTTCCAACAAGAACCCAGTAGAGTGGGTTTAGGGTTTAGTGGGATCAAGCAGCAGATCTCTGTGAAGGCATCCCAAGGAGGCATCCAGTATAGACCCTAAATAGTGGATCCTTAGGGTTTAGGATTTAGGTTCAGGATTTAGGGTTTAGGGTTTAGGATGTAGGGTTTAGGATTTAGGGTTTAGGGTTTAGGGTTTGTCTCTGTTTGAGTCCCAAGCATCCTGCCCCGAATCTTTCAGGCGGACCTGCCCAAGGAGCCCATCACAGCCTGAATAATTAGCAATGATGTTCCTTAGGGCCTTAGGGTTTGCCATTGGTTTTATAGTATAGTCTCCGCCAAAGCCTTCCAATGATCCAGGCCCCAGCATTGACGGATGTTCCTAATCTTAGGGGCTGAGTAGGTAACCTTTAACCTTATTTGGGCTAAGGTACTCAGCCCCTAGGTAATAATCAGAAACCGCTTACGAACTCAGTCCTGATATTGGGATCTCTGCCTGTGGGGGCCCGCCCTGTGCAATCCTTGTAGCAAGGGAATCTCAGCAAATGACCCGGACGTGTTGGAAGGCGTGTAGCTTGGGGTTTAGGGTACGAGCTGCTTTTTGTTTATAACCTACGACTACTACTACCACTACTACTCCTCCTCCTCCTAGTACTACTACTACTCCCACCACTACCACTCCAACTCCTACTGCTACTGCTACTGCTACTGCTAATACTACTACTACTCCTCCTCCTCCTGCTGCTGCTGCTGCTACTACTACCACCACCACCACCACCACCACCACGACGACGACTACTACTACTACTTCTTATTCTTCTTCTGCTCCTACTCCGACTCCGACTCCGACTCCGACTCCTGCTCCTGCTCCTGCTCCTACTCCTACTCTCCTACTCCTTCTGCTGCTACTACTACTACTACTACTACTACTACTTCTACTTCTACTTCTACTTCTGCTACTACTGCTATTGCTACTGCTACTGCAGCTATGACCACGTCTACGCTACGGCGAGTACTAGCACCAGCGTGCCGGTTCATGTGTTCCTTGCTTCCGTGATTTCTGCATTCACTGGTGATACAAGTTCCCTGCACTGTTAATTAAGACCACCCTGACGAATTCCAAACCTACGGTGTTGGGAAACCCCGCGCTACGGACGAAGTCGCGAAGAATAGAAGGTTGTTCTTGCAACGACGAATCTTACGATACAGGCATCCACATCGTTATCGCGCCTTATCCAACACAGTACCATTACCGCAACACGTTTCCATGGCCACTATACTCGCTGAAGACTTCCGGCTGCCATGTCAAACGACCAGCATTCAGAAGAGCGGTTACTTCCCTGCAAGTCTCAGCCTGAGCTCAGCTCTTCCTCAGCCGGGCAGCTCCACTCGGGTGCGGATCCAGGCCACTGCGAGGCTGTCGGTGGGTTTCAACCCGGCCTCTCAGCACCGGTTGAAGGTCCGAGGGCCGAGGGTCAAGCTTATATAGTATATGCACAGTATGATATAGCATAATACACATTGTGTAATATAGTATCATATAGTATAGTATAGTATCATATGGTATAGTAGTATAGTATAGTGTATTCTGTTGGTTCAAGCACTCAGAATTCGCTGAAGCTTTGGGAGTCGAACAGCCTTCATCTTTCACAGTCGGCACGCGGACTTCAGCGAGCCGGCGAGTCCCAGTCCGTTTCCATGTCAAGGCTTGTCTCGTCAGCTCCTGTACAAATGTGCTATTTCGGCGGGCTCCATGCCCTCAGCACCTGTACATGTCAGCATCTGACAGATAACTATAAGAGATTACTTGCAGCTTCGCGCAGTAGCTGAGGCAGGCACAGAGCGCCCAACAACCCTGCGCGGCAGCTGCAAAGCCAGAACGTTGGCAAATCATTCATGTTCACCATCATGTGAGCAAACTCTGCTCGTAAGGGAGCTTTTGTCCCTTACCTGGGCCTCCCGCGCCGACATTTATTGACCCGCAGAACACAACTTGCAGCTATGACTATGAGTCATGTCCAAGTCCCGAGGCCAGGCGAGGCAGAAGGCTGCCAAAGGCCAAGAACACTACACTTGCACTGCGAGCGGTCTGAGCGTCACCTGGTCGAGCTCGGGGGCCAAGGTCTGTACAGCATCAAACTTCCTCCTAACTACAAACAAAAGCCTTTGCAGTAGCCCTGCCCGGTCCCTTCAAAGGTGGATCTCCACGGCTATCTCACAGATCGTAGCGTCTCCGGTGAGTTTCTTGAAGTCCCAACTCGCCTCCTCCCCGTTTCGCAGCTGGCAGCATGTCTTCTCTACAAAATTGTGCTTGATCGGCTTTGGGCTGATCCGTTGGCTTTCCCCTGCTCCGATAGCGACACAGGCGGTGATGCTTTGCAAGCCAGGAGGCACGGCAGAAAAGCACTTGAGCTCCAGGCTGCCCCTACCTTTGGCCTTCTTGAACCCAGCGTTCTTGCCACCGATCACCATCAGCCGAAAAGTCAGAGGCTCTTGTTGGGGGAAGTGGAGCTGAAAGTCTGGGCTCACGAGGCGCCCTGAGTTGGAGCTAAACTTCGAAGCATCCACACACCACTTCACCAAGGTCTGCCCTTCTGATTCGCTCGTCTCCAGCATGCCGGGTCTCATGGAGGGCCTCCTTGTCTCGGGCGAACCAAGCAGGCGAGGATACTCGCTTTGCGGCCCAAGAGGTGCTCCCACAGAGGGCATCAAGGACGCTGGAGCCATGCAGGGCTGGGGGACGCAGAGCTTGTCGTCCTGAAGCATCGCATCCCACTCCCATGGGTCAGGGGTCGAGGAGCGCACCAAGCTTGCCACTGAAGTCGCCGAGGGCAGCGCTGGCTCTGGAGGTGACTCGCCGAAGCTCTCGCAGATTGCCTGCAGCTCCCAGACATCTGGCGTGTCGAAAACATTCTGCGTCCGGAGACTCTGCAGCTTCATCCTCATGGTCTCACTTGGCTCGGGCTCCTGGCAATCCTCGATCACGGACTTCTCGCTACTTTGCCGTATGAAGCCGTCATGATTCGGCCCTGACATCCCCTCCTCCTGGAGGTCCTGGAGCATGGCATCCCACTCCCATCGGTCGGGGGTCGCTGAGTGCCAGAATCGCGGCTTTGAAGAAGCCTCGGCAGCGGCCGCCGTCGCGGGCGACGTCTGCGACCGCAGCAAACGCCGCTCGCGGAGCCGTTGCTTCTCCAAACCCTGCACAAAGGTGTTCACTACGGTGATGTCCTGGTCCATGAGAGGCAGCGCTGGCTCTGCAGGTGACTCGCCGAAGCTCTCGCAGATTGCCTGCAGCTCCCAGACATCTGGCGTGTCGAAAACATTCTGCGTCCGGAGACTCTGCAGCTTCATCCTCATGGTCTCACTTGGCTCGGGCTCCTGGCAATCCTCGATCACGGACTTCTCGCTACTTTGCCGTATGAAGCCGTCGTGATTCGGCCCTGACATCCCCTCCTCCTGGAGGTCCTGGAGCATGGCATCCCACTCCCATCGGTCGGGGGTCGCTGAGTGCCAGAATCGCGGCTTTGGAGAGGCAGAGCCAAAACAGTCCTCAATTACCGACTTCTCGGACTTTTCCTGGGCGACAAGATCGCTTTCATAGCCTTCACAGCCTTCGCCTTCGAACTGCTCCTCAACCTCCTCCGCAGCGGCCGCCGTCGCGGGCGCCGTCTGCGACCGCAGCAAACGCCGCTCGCGGGGCCCTCGCTTCTCGGAAACCTGCACAAAGGTGTTCACTACGGTGATGTCCTGGTCCATGAGAATCTTCGCAAGCGCTGGCATTTCGGGCGTCATGGCGTCAAGGCTTCAGATCCACGGAACTTCGGGCAGGAGTCGGGCGCTGCGTTCACCCGTTGAGCCTCAGGTGACGAGTCCAGAAAAGTGCACGGAACTGCCTGGCACAACTCTCTGTTCCCGTCTCTGCATAGTACCAGCTAGTACCAGCTCTGCTTGCAGAGCCTGCTTTTGCAGAAGCGAGTACAGCTGCTGCAAGGTGCGTGACCGCCCGGGCGACGTCCTTATACTGCGACATGTTCCCAAAAGGCATGCAAAACCACACTGTAATATGCTATAACATGCTACAGTACACCAACGTCTACCATAACACACTCTCATAGACCATCATTTACAACGATAAACTACAATGACTTACGAGTGGTATACCATAATCTACCATATTTTCCATAGTATGCCATACTATTCCAAAATGTCCTCTCGCCGGGCCACTCCCCTCGGATGGCGTCCGCCAAGGCGTTGACGTCGATGAGAGGCTCGGACCATAGGCTCTCTGTACCCGGCCTCTGGGCAAAATTGTGTGTAGGGTTTCGGTTTAGGGTTTTGTTTTGAGGGTTTAGGGTTTAGGGTGTAGGGTTTAGGGTTTAGGGCTATGGGAGAAGATGGCGCTTTAGAAATGTAGGGCACCGACTCTCGCAGGGGTGTAGGATTTGGTTTGGGCTTAGGGCTTAGGGCTTTAGGGTTTACGGCGTGCTTAGGGCGTAGGGGGTTTCGGGGGTCCACGGTTAAAGTGCCAAGAACTCCCAGCTCCTGATGTTTCCGAAAACCCGAACTGTCCCTCTACAAGAGTGTTGCAACAGACTTTCGGACTGCCTGACTGAGAAGGCTGTGGCAAGCGAGGCCGTAGCACCTGCCTGTAGGCTTCTAGGACTCCGACGGCCGAAAGTGCTTCGTGATCAACTGCATGTCCTGCCACGGGCATGACTTAGATGCTTCAAGCTGCAGATCGATGTCAGCTTTGGGATTCGCCCAGTGCCCAGACTCTCGTATCAGGTTCGTGGGTCGACTCACCCTCTCAGAAATGCTTGCCTACATCGCCAGCTGAGGTCCCGACATCCACGCCCAGCTGCACGCCGTAGTCGCAGCGCAAGGATGTCAAGACCTCGTCCAGCACCAAGAACATCGAACAGAAACCACCCCCAGGCAAAGGAGCATAATTACTGTGCAAAGCCTGGCAGGACTGCGCAGCTCGCACTACTCTCACGTCGGGCCAAGGCCACGGCGGAGGACTCGCCGACCAAGGTCCGCTCAGCAAGGGTTGCAGAGCCATCCGCCGTTGGCAATCGACTGGTGGAGATCGGGCCATCCGGCACCAGGCAGTCCTGGGGATTCTTGTTACGGACTGGGCATTCTCATATTAAACCCCAAACCCTAAACCCTAGAATTCTCGCGACTCTTAACATGCTCCACTTTGCTGACGGAGAGAGAGCAAGGGGAGAGCTGCGAGAGACGGAGTCAGGCGGCTTTGGAAAGGATCTTTCGGAAGATGCTGTAGGCCAGTACCTGTCGGAAGGTCTGGCTTTCGACGGAATTAGAGGCAGTTTGGGGTTTAGGATTTATAGGGTTTAGGGTTTATAGGGGTTTAGGGGTTTGGGGTTGTTCTGATCTCTGCTTGGGTCACTTTCATTTAGCACTCTTCGAAGAAGCCCTACACCCGGAACTGGAACTGTTGGCACACGCGCTCGAAGGATGAGGCGAGGTGGTCGGGGCAAGACAGGGCCTTCCGGAACTTAAACCCTGGATCCATAACAATATACTGTCATGTAATTACTATGAATAGATAATATTATGCTAGAATTACTAGAATATGCCATATTCCTGTAGTACAAAATCAAAGAAGGTCCTGGCCCCTGCTGCCCTTTTCAGCGACGAGCTCCGGCCTCCCCGCGCCGGCGGATCCGCTTCAGGATGACGGCCCTAGCCATCGCCGGGTTGCTCGGGAAGGCTCGGGAGCTCGGGGATTGCACATTAAAGTTCCTTGCAGCAAACTTCTTCTTAAAGTGGCTGTCCAGGACGCCGTTAAAATGGCTCGCGGCTTCACAGCCAAATCCTACAATCTCCATGCCGGTCACTTCCCCCGAGCTCCCGCAAACTTCGACCCTCGGCACCACAGAGCGGTCCGGATCCCCAAGGATCTGGACCTGGCCTGAGGCTGTGCCATTGCGCAAAGGTCGTGTCTCCACCTGCGCGCAAGCATTTCCAAAGAGCTGAGGATGGACGCCTGCTTGGGGCAAGGCTGCAAGGAACAAGGCAAAGTGGGCTAAAGCTTTGAAAAGCCGTGCTTTTGCAGCTTCCGGCGGCTCCCTTCACCGCCTCAAATGTCAGGCAACACAATGCCCCTATCAAACTAGCGATCACAGCAGCAGCTTCGAAAAACGGGCGTCAGGTTGCGAGGCTAGTAACGGCTAGTAGTGCAGTTGCCCATTCACGCACGGTCGAGTCGAAAGCATACTCGATTCGAGCCAACACCTACGAGCCCATACACTGCCAGATAATCACAGAACACCATCTCGCTGGGCTCCATTGGAACACGGTACTCTGGTGAGAAACAAGGAAGAACAACCGACGCCACCACCGGCACCACTAGCACAAGCACTGTGTTGCAGAGCCTGTTGGCATCGCTTTCGTCACGTTCCTGCTCTGCACACAAAATTGCAGGCTTTCTATAGCTTCTATGCTACTGATCGACCAGAGCCTGCCGCTGTGCTGGGCGCGGCCGGGTTGAGGCAGAGCCGCTCCAGCACCCAGCCAACATCTGGAGGCTCTCCTGCTGCTGCTTCGGCGGGCATCAGGTCTGCAGATCTCCAGAGATGAGGTGCTAGAGAGTTACAGCCGGTCAAGCTTTATTTCGGCCGGGAGGATGCTGGCTGCTGGCATCCGCAGGACTGCAATCGGAAGATATCGGAAGGTGCATCCCGCTAGGCCACCATGCGGCCAGCAGCAAGCGGACGGCACAAGCACGACTGGAACAGAATTCCGCAACAGCGCATATGGCACTAGTTAGGGTCCCAGTTCGGATCCGCCGCAGAGCCCGCCACTGAACCCTTGAATGGACCCTAGTTTGGCGACTTGCCCGTGTGCGCCGGCCTTCTGGGGCTGATGCGTGCAGCAGCAGCTCCTGCACGTCCTTCCCCACCTGAGCTTCGGTTTCGAGGCATGTGCAGAATTACATGCTGTCTACACTCTTGTTCCTGCCATGAGCCGAAACCATCGACGTCAATCCGCACCGTGATCTCCCAACCCCTTTGCCTACACTGCTCCCGTGCCTGCTAAGTCCAAGCTTGCGGCGGTCCAGCAAACGCAACCCTACCAACGGCCGGAGCTGCGTTGTAGCCTCTGTTTCTCACTAAGGCCATTGCAAAACCCGCCTCAAAAAAGCATAAGAAAAACCCCACAGCCGAGTCACGGCAGCAGATCGTGAGATGCAGCCCCGACCAACGGGGTTGCTAAGGCCGCCGAAAACGGCCTGACGCTCAGCCACTGCTTCCCGAGTCTGGGGAGGCAGTAAGGGCTGGGTAACCGGGCAGAGCTAACTCGTGACAAAATGGAGCGGGTGTGTAATCACGTACATCAAAGAAACAGTTTTCTCCGCTGGCCTTACCCAACAACCAACAAAACGGATTGCACCCAACGGTATAAGCCAGGATAAGAGCCCGCTTGAACCAGCAATCGAATCTAAAGGTTCTTCTCTTGAGTCTCAAGTTGTCGACTCGACCCGGCAAGGAGGCACCGGCTGGGCCTGCATCAGCCGCGGGCCGTGAAGGTAAGAGAATGGCGCAATGGGCACAATGCGCACGCCCCATCTCAGGTCCACAGGGTCACCGTAACCACCGGCTGAAGAATGCTCCGGCACGAGGGTGAAAGCCGTGTTCCAGCTCCGCCGTCCCTGACAGACGTAGCCGAAGTCCACGAAGCGCCCGAAGATCAGGTACGGGGCCCCCAGACCTCCACCACGGCTAGGTGGCTCGCAGCTCAGCAAGATTTCCGAGCTCGCATCGTCAACGGATGGCAGCCCGAACTGAACATGCTGTCCATAGTGCACACGGGAAGAGGCCGGGAAGCCGTCCAGCTCACTACACCGGAACACCCGCCATGCGCTTCGACAGGCGACCGTGTCGGGGTCTGGCACGCGAGCAGCCGTTACTGCCACGAAGTCCTTGGCCCTCCGCCCCGAGGCCGCCAGGTCCTCTGCCAGCCGCAGCTCCTCGCGCTCGGCATCGGTGGGAGCGATCTCCCGCGGGCCAACGTCGCCGGCGGCCCTCGGGCGGACGCAGGCGCAGAGCGCTGCTGCGAAGCCGTCGTCATCCAGCGGGGGGAGCGTGAGGCGCAGAGCATCCCCAAAGGCCAGGTGGCTGGGCTTACGCTCGGGCTCCAGTGCTGCCGGGCTCAGGGGCAGCTTCGCCGCTGAGCGGGTCTTCACCGTCACGGGCGGCGGCTTCCCGAGCTGCGACGGCGGGCGCAAAGGTCGCAGGTGCCGCACACGCCACAAGCGCTCCTGTGTTCCTTGGTTTGACAAGAAGCCAGGACGGGCAAGTCAAAGGGAAGACTACGGCAGCGATTGCATGCTGAATCCGTGGAAACGGAAAAATCCATCTTGGTACAGGCCAGCGTCTTACGACTGGCGAGGAGGGGTCATCTTCTTGCCAGTCGTCCAGCTTCACAGTTTGGGTCATGGACTTGCACCGCCTTGCAGCAGTGCCAGTCGTGGTTTGGAGTGGGGTGGGTCTGCTGGGTGGGTAAGGCCGGGTTGTGTACCAACATAACATGAGGGGCTCTACTTATGCTCTGTCTTCCCGATGGGCCATATATGGCTGAGGCCGTCTTTCTTGCTATGGATATCGGAATCGACACGACGGAATCTCAAACTCATCAGAATTTTTGCATCGTACGACGCCTGGACTGCACGCCCAACCTTTGAGACAGACGAGAGACTCTGCGAGGTGGCAAGTATCCGGCGATCTAGTCGTTTCGGGCCACTCAATGATTCAGTGTCTATCTACCTGAATCTACCTGTCTCTCTATCTATCTGGCTGTCTATCTCTCTACCCTAACAAAAACTACACTAACTGCCTACTAGATACATATGCATACACCCGTGATTGTAGCTTGCGACCTCGCAGGAGTTTCATTCAGCGCATGCGAAGCAGCTCTTGTTTCGAGCGCTGCTGCGGGAGGCCACATGACAGGTCTCCGCCCCCGTGTCCCGAGTCACAGCCTCACATTATCCCTTGCTGTTCGGGCGGAGCCCTGCCAAAACCTGATCTGCTCAAAGTCCGTGTGCCACGGCACGCCCCGATCAGCATCAAATTTCTTGCAGACCTGCGGCGCGCCATGCAGCGAAGTGTCAAGCACAAGGGGGGCCAAGCTGGGCCAAAGGGGGACTACCTGGATCTACCCGGGTAGGGGGCGATGCGGGCCGGGCCCCCTGCGGGGGAAAATTGCGAAAACGGCCCACGATGATTTAATCACCGGCCTTCGCCGCCAGATGGCGTTGATGAACGCGTGTAGGCTTTTTTGGTGGTTTTTTGGTCCTTTTTCCCGGATTTTAATTTTTTTAGGCTGTCATGGGGCTGTTGCTTAAACACATGGGCCACGCAGCACTGAAGCCATCTGCGCCACCTGGCGACTGCGGCACGCTGACCGGGGTGGGGATTTCTTCACCGAAATCACCCGCCCACCCCGGTGGCACAAGACTCGGTTCGCCTTGTCTGCGCGCGAGCTACGGCCACACGGAAAAGAAGGCTGCAGCACTTGCAGCTCAACGTCGTGCGGCTGCTTCGGCTGGGGAGTGCGCAGTTTCTACCTAAGTCTCATATACCTCACACCAGGCCCCATCAAACTGCACACCGCCCCCAGTCATTACATTAACGCTGCAGCACAGCCCGTTCGGAAACAAGATGAAGCATGCGAACATCCCTTCTGAACAAGCCAACTCTCACCACTGACAACTGGAAAGGAAACCCAACAGACTCCGCTGCTAGCGTCGTCATCTTAAACATCCTGCGCCCGCCGGCTTCGGCCGGTCTAGGCGAGCGACCACCTCTCCCACGTCTCCACCTGCGACCGAGGCTTGCAGCAGGCGTGGACAAAAAAACGTAGGAAGGGCATGTGAATGTGGGGATCGGCACTCCACTCTGCAAAAGCCGTTATGCCATGCATAACTTTCCACTGCGACCCGCCATGATTGCAAGGCACCGTGGCTGTTCAATGCGTCCACGAAGAAGCTGCATGGTACAGCAGTTGTTGTTCGCTTTGTGTCCTCATGCACCCTCATTGCCTGGAGCTGGGGTGGGTGCAAGTGCTTAGGGCCAAGAGCGATCACCAGGCGCCCGGAAGTGAGTTGAGCCGGTTCAAGCGGGACGCACAACCTCGATCCGCGGCGGTCTCGGCGCCTCCCGCAGCGTCGAGTCCGGCCCTGCCACGAGGACGCCACCGGACCAGGCGCCCAACGCGCGCATCAGCCTTGCAAAGCCGAAGGCTGCTTTAAGATAATTTAAGATTGTTAAGTGCTTGAGCATTCCAGGGCCGAACCTCGTCAAAATCCCAACATCTTGGGTTCTGTCGGTCTCCCTCTTCAACAACAGTCCCGTTGCCAGTCAGGGAGAAGAAGATTGCCACAAGCTCTACAGCAAGCCAGTAGACTTGCTTGTCGAATTCCACCTGTACTTCCAAAGCTGCTGAAGATGCCTTCAGGGGACTGCACCGGCTACCGGCTAAAATGGAAGGCGGATTTTCCGAATCTCGTCTTCCCTCTGTCGGACTTGAGATGTGCCACCAAGGAGCTGGGTCAAGGCGGTACCTGCAAAGCCGGGAAAACCCTTCAACACGGGGGGGTTCATAGGAAGGAGTCGACGCAACCAAGCCCCCTCTCTCCCAAATCGAGGTCCCGGATCTGCCGCCAGTTACAGCAGAATGACAACTGTCACATCAAAACGACTCCTCGCGTGATCCAATCTAGGACTATGCATTGGGTTTTCAAGCTCGATTGATCTTTGCCCGCATGAAGCGCACCTGTCTAGACCTGTAGCTTCACGTCCTCCGTCGCCTCATGTCAATACTCATCTTCTTCGTCGTATCGTTCCAGTCTTTCCGTAGCACAACCCCAAAAGAGGGAACCCAGGCCGAAGCTTGCCCTGAGGACTCCTGAAGCCTTCGGGCCCAATGCGGGCCTTCCGCGCCCAAAGAGCCCGGGTCGCACCTGGCCGTGGCAAGCTTTGGAGACACCGCTAATAAAAAGATACCTAGTTCAGCTCCTTCTCCTCCTCCTCGTCCTGGCCATGCTATATGGTCAGACCTAGTGCGACTTCTCCTGAGCATCACCCACTTGCACCCAAGGCACACGAAAAGAACATGCGGCGCCCTGGGCCAGAACGCCTTGGCCTCAGCAGCACTCTGCAGCAACTGCATACGCATGGTTTAGGGTTTAGGGTTTGGGGTTTAGGGTTTAGGGTTTGGGGTTTAGGGTTTAGGGTTTAGGTTTAGTTCCCACCTCTTTGCTCGAAGCCTCATCTAAGCCCAGAAACTCGGGGCGGTGGACCATAGGAGCTCGAAGACAGGACACAAGGCTCGGCTTGGCTCACCGCCTTGGCTTTGGATAAGACGAGATGCAAAGGTGAGAAGCACCTTCTGGCACCTGGTCAGCTCTGCCAGGCCTCAAAGAAAAGGGGTTTAGGGTTTAGGGTGTAGGGTTTGGGGTTTGGGGTGTAGGGCAGTGTAGGGTTGAGGAAGTTTAGGGTGTTTTCCCTTAGCTTGGACGAGCCCGCACCGCAGGGTGAGTTCAGATATGTCCGACTGCATAGGCATAGACCTCACACACGTCACACGTCTCCCTCCTGTTAAGGGGGTTCGTGCGTCGTTTTGGGCCTCAGTAGTAGGTACCACACTCAGTCTTAAACCGAAGGCGGGGACCAGAATCGCCATCACGGCGCGATGGACCCTTTGTATGGCAAAATGCTCAGCCGCAGCAAAGTCAGCTTGCAAGTCGCAGGCAGACCATTACGAATTTGTATGTCTCGACATCGTACCTCTCTCACTGGCACTCTTGTGAATTACTCATTGAAGAAGGCTCAACGATACAGGCTTTCACAAGTTGAGGGTGTAGGGTGTAGGGTTTAGGGTTTAATTAGGCTTCGACTCTCACTCTCGCACAGGGCAGGCAAGGCTCCTGAGATGTCCGTCACGCAAGAGATCACACAGGGCTCGCATCCGACAGTACCGGAACCCTGTAAACCATGGACCATCCACAAGGCCCCTGCCCTGTATCATCCCTCAGAGTCTTTGCTCCACCATGCCATGAGTATTCACAACACAGTCTCCACTGACCTTCAAGCACATCCACGTTCATGTGTTCCTAGGCTCAGCAATAGGGCGCCAAACGCAGCAACCGCTCAACATGCAGGTCATACCCAACCTATTGCCGGCGAGGAGCCTGTTTGAAAAGAGTGTACCGCCTTATGCTAATGCGACCTTTAGACCTCACACACGATTTAGCCTCAACAACCATGGCGGCCGCAAGCATGCACTTGAATTCACCCTCCACATCTTGAACTGTGTCGTAGTGATCGTAGTGACTGCTCAGCTGGTTGCATACACGGCTATCCCACTCCAGGCAGTTATCCCCGCAGCGAATCCAACCGCCCAGCATCCATGAATTTGTGCAAGTACCGACACGTATCCACCTTCAACACGATATCGAGTCTCACACTGCTTTGCTTTGTGTTTGAATTCAGAACTCACCATATCCATGTTCATTGCACCAAATTTGTAAGCAAACTCTGTCAATTCGTTGTGAATTCGGGCTTCGCGCATTCCAGGTTCACTTGCTGTTGCAGATTGAAGCTGCCCAAAATGTACTCAGCACTGCTCAGCTGAAACCACATCTAGTTCTTCAGTTGGCATTCCATGCAGCCTGCTCCCATATTCCCAAGCGCTGAATTCATGAATTCCCCGGTTTTGAATTCATGAATTCACCACTTCTCCCCTTGCACATGCAGTTCTACATGCGCTGCATGCAAACATGTCGACTGTATCACATGCGGGGCGGCATGTCACAGATCTCTGCGGGTGCCGTGGAAGTAGTCTCTCTTTCCATCCAGCATTGTGTCTGCCCAAAGAACCGCTTACTGGTAAGTAGGGTTTAGGGTTTCGGGCATGCCGAGAGGTCGGATGCCGGTCTCAGAACCCAAAGCCCAACACCGGCCCACACCCTTCCAAGCCTCTGTCCGCGAAATCTGCCAAGGCAAAGTGGGACAAATGCGCCTCGAGCAAGGAGGCATGCGCATGCAGGAAGTTGCCGCACTCAAGCTCCAATCGGCCATTGTCCATGCTGATAGAAAAAACAATAAGCTCTCAAGCGCTGAGCCGCTGAGCTTCAGCGGATGTGAACTTGCCGGTGAATGGCAGGCATATCTAGCCAGCGAGAAAACAGGGCCTCGATGTCACAAGCCAGGTACTCGTAGCCAGCATGGAGTAGGTCTCGGGGAGTTTTACAGCTGTTCTCCTCCAACGCTTTGGCGTTGGTGCTTGCGGGCAGAAGAAGTCTCGCATGCGACGCTGATGAATAGGGCCTGAACCAACCCCAGCACCGCACTTCACCTGCCCTTTCCCTGCACAATGGCAGATCACTAGCGGATCGCCTCCCTCCCGTCGTCCTGGCAAAGCTGCGTAACACATCGTGGGCTCACGGCCGCAAAGCGCGCCCGTGGGTGGCGCCAGAAGAGGGGTGCCTCATTGTCATTGCTTAGTCTCGTCGATGCTTGGGATAAGGTTGTTTTGCGGCGCCGCACCGTCCTACCACTGATACGGGGGCGTAAACGTCGGCATCTTCAACATCCAGGGTGCAGCAGCAAATGTGCAGGCTTTTTTACACTGACTAGTTCGAAACCACCTGCAGCAGGCAGCATTCAGCATGATCTAATGAACTCATCGAGTCTCACACAGCACCTCCTCAAGGTCTTCATGCGGCAAGTTGGGTGCAGCGGCCTTTCGCTTACTAAGCCATTTAAACAACCCTCAAAGCTCCGGATCATCTGTGGACATGCTCAGGGACAGCATCTGGTCGCTGTCCGGCAAGCAGGTCGCAGATCTGGGGCATGTCCAGGCATCCTGGCAACTTTGGTGCAAGCAAATGTGAGACTTGGCTTCTCAGAATCCAGTTCTTGCGTCGCCTCCGCTCCCAAAAGCAGAAGCTGCGCTTTCTCAGAGCAGCCGCTCGGTCCTTCCAGCACCACCCGCGAGCTCCTTGACAGGCAGATGAAGGCCCGGCTGCCCAGCAGCTTGTCTGTAATGCTGCATGCCTCAGCGACGTCTTCCGGTTTTTTTGCGGGAGAAGCGGAAGATGGTGGCTGTTGGGTTTGTCTTTAGTGCAGGGCATGCAGCCTTCTATTGCTTGTCAGTTTGCGTGGTGCTATCGCAGCCGCTTGCTTGAAGACCGCCTGACACTACTTTTCAGTCTGCCGCCACGGCACCAGGCGATCTTCCGCCTCAGCGCTCGGCGGGACGGCCTTCGCGGCCTCCGCCCGCCAGAGTGCAGCCTGCAGCAACATGCCGCAAGGCGCTCAGGTCATTCTCTGCAGTCCTCGAGGTTCCTTGGGAGGCCCAGCTCAGAGCCCAAAACTCCCAGGCCCCTTTAACCGTGAGAAGATGCGGCCTTCTTGGACTTGACTCCTTCGATGGCCTCAGGAGAAGGCAGCGTGACCTTTCCGGGCGCATGACATGTCAAAGCCAGAAGCTGTCCAATTGTACAGGCATTAAAGAGGATGGTACACGGTGACATCAGCCCTTGGGCCACACCAACAGACACTTCTCCTGTGGCCTCCTCCAGAGACGGCGGGGCAAGCAGTGCCAAAGAGCGCTGCACGGCCGAGCGAACCCGATCATCCGCGTCCTGGGGCCAAGCAGAGGAAGACCAGCGAAGCACCACCGGTCCCCCAACGTGAGGCCCGACTCTCCCGAAACCGGGCTCTCCCTGCCTCGGCGCAGGCCTCCATGGCCTCGATCGTCTCCCGATCCGATGGCCGGGCCACCTCCCAAAGAACCAAAGAAGCAGACCAAGATGGTACGAGGTCCCACTGACCCAAAAAAAGGGCAGCGTACTGGAGAGCGACATGCAAAAGACTTGTTCGGGACAGTGGTCGGGATACGTGGCTTCAACCCTCGAAGGCAACCCAGCTGCAGTGCCAAGGGCGATGACGGCCCGCACCCGTACCTCTGCACATGCAAAGCTTTAGAGGGGCGGAGGGGCTGCATTGATGTGGACTTTCAGCGCTAGGATGCCCCGTGCTCCCGAATCACCTGATCCCGAACTGAAAAGCCAGCACCTCAGCGTGGGTGTCCTGCAGCAGACCCACGAGTGCCTGGGAAGCGATTCAGCTTCTTACTTCTTGCTGTGTGGCCGCCAAAAAGAAACCCTGTTAACTGCACAACCACTGGTATGGGAAGACACGGCCGGAGAGAGATGTTGATCATCGTCCCTTGAACTCTTGTTGCTTTCCTTTCGAACAGAAAAGCACGGTTTCTGAAGGATGGCCTGTTAAATTGTTTCAATGCCTCGGATTCCTTAAAGATAATGATGAGCTGATAGATAGAATCACTCGAGGCCTCTGAGCAGCTGTCTCTGCCCAAGCCTCCCCGAGACCCCTTCGCCCTAAGATCGAGCTGAGCAGCGGCAGTCATGGCAGGGTCGCCCCAGGGTGAGATAATCGTGCTCGCATGCGCCAGTGCACATCGCACAGTGGGGTCCGGATCCTTACAGGGCAGTGCATGGACGCAAGTGACGCAAGTCTGCCAAAAAGAGGGAAATTCTTGAAGGAATGCCCGAATTACCATCTGACGACGCTCCCGTCTAATTGGAGCGTCCCTAGGCTGTTATTGGGGATGCCAACGGACTCGGAGAGGGCAGCCCGAGGAGGACGGGCTGCAGGCCGAGAATCGGTGCAGCATTGGCACAACAAGGTCGTTCCCTCGCGATCACAGAAAGGCGCCACCTCAGATGCAGAAGGAAGCAGGCTCCCGACGGCTGAACTTTCCACACAAGCTACGTCCGTCATAATTGAGCGGAAACCTCTTAACTTTGCAGCAACACTGTGCTGGCAGCTCCGGGAACATTCCACGTTACGGACCCGTGATAATGAAAATCGGACAACCGGAAGCCGTCAGTTCGTCCGCGCAGTTTCGGAAGTCTACAAAGATGTCCCAAATTTGGTATTCATGCCGCAAAGCAACGTCTCCCAGTGCTGCCACAGCCTCCCGCCGCACCGCAAGACTGGGGTCCTGGCCAGAAACTCCGAAAGCTCCGTGGGTTTGGCGGTCATAGGACTGGGATCTAGGATCTGGGGGTCACTATGCAGTGCACTGCGCTGCAATCAAAACTGAAGCCTCTTCAAACGACACGCCATGACAGTCTGTTCGAGCTTCACTGCGTAAGACGCCGGAATTCAAGCGGAAAACCTTCGTTTTGTTGCATCTGGTTTTTTCAGCGACTCCCTCCACCTGTAAACCGCTTTAGAAGAGACCAGGGTCCGCAAGGCCCCGCACAACCGCGGCCAGGGCCTGCAGGCTCTTGGCGGGACTCCCGAGTCGGGTCAAAAGGGCAAGCTTTTTTTTCTGGGTTTATTTTTTTTAAAGTGCAATGTGGTTTAGGGTTTAGGGTTTTTTTTTGAGGGCCTAGGGTTTAGGGTTTAGGGTTAGGCTGAGCAACTGCCTGCAAAACACCACGAACTTCCGCGAAGTTCGGGAAGGGCCTCCGAGTTCCCGCGGCTGGCCAGCGACGACAAAGCCTCCACGGCCTCTTGTCGTAACCAGTCCTCGTGCATTTACACAAGACAAGCAACGTGCACCCGAGCGTGCCATAAATGAGTTGAACAGCAGATCCTTGCCTCCTGGTTGGACTTCTGGCAGCAAGGTCTAAGATAGCTTATCAAAGCACTGGGCCACAAGGCAAATATGTCCTACAAACCTAGGTCACTCCTAGGTCCCAAGAGCATTTGTGGGCGAAAAAAATGCTTTGGACAAAGGGGTCCTCCTCGCGGCTCTGCATGATGCCTGCCAGTGCGGAGACCTTGGCTCTTGGCTTGTTTTTGCCTCCCACCTTGCAAGAGCTTGTAGGGTTTAGGGTTTAGGGATTATAGGGTTTAGGGTTGAGGGTTTACGGTTTAGGGTTTAGGGGTTTAGAGGTTTAGGGTTTAGGGCCCACAACAGCTACGGGAGATTGCAGACTCTTGGCAAAGCCTGCTCCGTTCAGGGCATGCGGCCACAGCCTCGTGGCCGTGTGCCACGGCTCCGAGGAGCATCCGCGCAGCGCTCCGCACCTCAACGAAGAGACTTGACTGTGACGGTTTAGGGTTTAGGGTTTTAGGGCTTTAGGAGTTTAGGATTTAGGGTTTTGGGAGTTTAGGGTTTTGGGAGTTTAGGGCTTTAGGGTTTTGGGAGTTTAGGGTTTAGGGTTTAGTTTGGGGTTCCTAGGCCGATCGAGTGCGCATCGGCGCAATGCCATCTCCTAGCCTCCTGGTGATCGAGCGGCATCTTATAATATACTATAACCTACTATAATATACTAGAATAAGATATAATATGCTAGAATAAGATATGATATAACATAGATATACTATAGATATAAAGTATAGCTACGGCAACCCATGTCTTGCCCCCGTCACTCGAGTCTGGGCCTCCCCGTCAGAATCCAGCAATCGCCTCGGTACCAATCGGCGAAGCAAGAGGACCAATCTCGATTGCAAACACTCGCACCTAAGACCTCCTAGAATTTCACGTCTTTAAGTCATCAGGTGATGCGTCAATTGCGGAGGCTCTTCTTCACCCTCCAGAGCAGGGGTCTGAAGTCCACAGTGTCAACGCCCGCCAATCAAATCCGGCAAGGCTGATCTGGTGTACTGTAGTATATACCTTAGTATACTATAGTGGGTTTTGCTATGGTATACTATTTCGTATACTATTTATACTATCGGTAACTCATAGTATGTCGTAGTAACTAGTATATTAAAGTATGTTATACTGTATTGTAGTAGTTTAAGCTATACGGTAGGACAGAATTCCAAGAACCCGGCTGCACCCCTGCGGCCCTCGCGGCAGGGGCCTCGTGGTCGTCCTGGGAGGCAGCACTAGAGGTTCTGCAACTGTTTAGGGTTTACCGTTTAGGGTTTAGGGCGGGTTGTGTTTTTCGGTTTTTAGGGTTTACGGTTTAGGGTTTAGGGCGGGTTGTGTTTTTAGGTTTTAGGGTTTAAGGTTTGGGGTTTAGATGGTGGAACAGATTAAATGCTTGACCGAATTCACCAAAATCGCCCCAACCCGAACATCCTCCATGAGGAGGTAGGCCAGCGAGCTCGTAGCAAGTTGCCTTCAATTGCCGAACCACAGAATCGTTCCGTACGTGGCCTTTTGTTATAGTATACGCTAGTGGACTATAGATTTTAATAGTATTACATCTCGTTATTTCATAATATGATACAGTAGTAGAAAATAATCAGTCTGGCATCCATGCTGAATCTACCACATCCGAGTCGGTGCGCCTCACAGCTGCATTTTCGTCATCGACTCCTGGAACGGGCGATGATGGGTTTTGCATGTCGAGCCCCCCCTCCCTGTAGTGGTCAGGGCAAGAAGACCCAAGTCAAGGTTGACTTAAGAAAAATAGCAGTCAGAGTGGCGGCAGGTTTTGTTTCATACGGATGTTTACCCGGCTAGAGATGAGTTGCCGCAAAGCTGCGGTCCAACACACCGCAGATCCTCGGATCGAGGCACCACGCGTGGGTGCGTCACGACATCACCGGCACAGCGCGTCGAACCCGAGCACTTGGCTTTGACTCTGGCTTATGACATCTCAGCCAAGCGACTTTCCCAAGTTTCCGTTCTCAGCGGCATGAATGGCAGCTTTTAAAGCTTCCATGCGCACTGTCGGATCCATGTCGTGCAGGTGGCACCTTGTCAGCACGGCTTCCTTTATCCACCAACACGGGCGTGAAACTCGCCAGAGCCCATCAACGAGGCAAGTGCCTCTAGTTTAGAAACGGACGTCCCTCTGA